CAATCTGATGAAATACACCACGAAACATTGTCAACCACCTTCATACAAATAGTTTTCCTTCATTTTCAAAGTTTTAATATTAACATTTGTTCTTAATTTTTATATGCGAGTGCTTTCGACAGCAGAATGTGCTAGCACATTCATGGCTCTACTCAAACCAAACGTTTTATCTTCTTGTTTATTCTTTTATTCGGTTAGAACGCCTCAGTGCAAGCATTTGTACTCTCCTTTCATCCGGATGTCTCTTTGAATTTGCCTGTACTTGGGTTACATCAGGTAATATCCTTTCTGTCGGTGTTTCTCTAGGTTCATTGTTTCTAGGAATGTGTATCGGATATAATTCAATGTCCAGCGTGGTATCAGCCGGGAAAGTTGATATTTTCCGGCAGGCATTCAAATTTATTCTGAAATAAATTTTTATTTTTTTATATGAGATGCAATGATTAAGAATCTATTTCTCATCAGTTTTTCATCATTTCCCAATCTAACTGTACAAAATATCCTCAGATGAGGAAAATCTTGTATGTTTTTGTGAAAAAAACTCATTTCTAACAAATCTGCAAAGAAATATTCATATTATTGAAGATCTACTGTTTTTTTTTCAGGATATTTTCAGAAACTCTATTGGCGAAACATAAAATTTCATTGACTGAACTAATCAAAAGGGATAAGAATCGACCTAGTGTTATAATATGGAGTGCAGCTAATGAGCCTAGAACCCAGTATCTTCAAGCGAAAGATTATTTCAGGTGAAGTATCGATAACATATCCAATTATTCTGGGTCCTAAATTTAATTTTTAGGCAGGTAATCGAGCATATAAAACAATTAGATGCATCTCGACCTACTACGATTGTTGAGGCCCAGAATGTTAATATTGTTCAATCGGTGAGTATCGTATTGTTGAATCTGTCGAATTCGAAATCNCCTAAAAATATCGTTATTGTCTCTGTTCTTTTACCAAAATACATTGAAGTTACAAATTTCTTGATTTTTGATTGTTTGATCTGGGGATACATTAATCTATAAGTACATTTGAGGCTTTGTTTCTGACTAACTTCTGTTAGTATTGTGTCTGCGTTGGAACCCACCGACGGATCTAAGGCGGGGGCAAAGGGGGCAAGTGCCCCCCCCCCGAGAAAAAAATTCCCTCAGGGATGTGTGCTTAAGAATTGCAAATATTGAAGCGTCAACCTTTCAAAAAACAATAATTAATTTGATGTACGTTCTAATTTCATTTTAATTTTGGCGGTGATAGTGGCAGCAGATATTTGCAACCTTGTGACAAAACCATTTCGATAATCGCCATTGCAATTTGTTATTGTTACTTTGATAAGTAAATAAATAAACTTTCCACACCACATGGTAGAATATAATAAAACATATTTTCCTATATGAATCAAAACGTAGGATAGACCTACAGGTAAGGTATTTATCTATAACTTGATGGATCTCGATTGCCCTCCCCCCCGAAATCATGGTCTGGATCCGTCACTGTTGGAACCATTATTCTGTCATATCTGTATAATAGTTTTAATTTTCCTATCCAGATTGTTAGATAACGAGAATGCTCTATGTAACGAAAAATCTCGAACATGAACGCCTCCTATTCTAAATTTCATGGCCTAGTAAAATAAAAACACATGAACAAGATAATCCTATAAGACCGGCATTTCTTATAAAAACAGTCCGGTGAGAGAACTAGGATTACGGCAAACAAGTTATTCAAAAATGTTACCAATTTCGTCTTATGTCACAGCATTGAAAATTCGCTCAATTTAATGGAAAAAATAAGTACGCCACATAATTCTATTTTAGTTTCATTCGATGTGAAGAATTTGGTCTCTAAAATACTGTACAACGAATATGTCTCTCATTTCAAATATATTGGGTCAAGCCAAAGTAGACCATGTCACTTCTTTTGAAATTTCGACACATCGAGAAAAGTGTTGCACTGTTCTATTAGTTCAATTCTGTGTCAGAGGTTCCATTTCTACCTGTAACATATTCACATTTGTTTATTCATGATACCATTTTAATCCTTTTTCATTGTTACAGTCATCATTTGTAGACATCATTAGTTTCAATCGATATAACGGCTGGTATAGTAATGAAGGAAATTTGGATGTCATAACTTATTACGTCATGCAAGAAGCAAGAGAATGGCATAATAAATTCAATAAACCTGTGATAATGCAAGAATATGGTGGGGACACACTGGAGGGCTTACATTTTGTGAGTAAAGATTAATCAATATATTGCCATATAGATAGGCTAAAAAGTTTGTAGGATAACACACAGATGGCGCTAGTTGTATTACATCCATATGATTCTTAGTTAACCTTAACCTCCAAAAGTCACGTGTTCAAATTTCACAGCTGTCGGACTGTTAGTTCGTGGGATAGAACATTTTGAGTGAAGTAACTTTTGTTCGTTTGAAGAAAATGGATAAAAAGGAATTTCGTGTGTTGATGAAGCATTTCTATTTGGCAAAAAAATACTGCTGAAGCCAAAGCTTGGCTTGATAAACATTATTTAGACTTCGCACCGAGGACTATGCACGCAGTAGACGCCTCAAAGAGGCTGTTGCCGACGAAAACATCAAAAATGTCAACGAAATAATTTTGGATGATCGCAAATTGAAGTTGAGCGACATAGCTGAGGCTCTTAAGATATCAAAGGAACGTGTTGGACATATCATACATGAATATTTGGGTATGCGAAAGCTCTGTTCAAAGTGAATGCAGTGCGAGCTCACAGATGACAAAAAAAACAACGAATTGATGATTCTGAGCAGTGTTCGAAGCTACGTGACAATGGACGAAACATGGGTCAGTCGTTTCACACCAGAATCAAAACGATCGTCATCTGAGTGGACTACACGTGGTGAACCGACTTCAGAGCGTGCAAAGACTCAACATTCGGTCGGCAAGGTTATGTTATCAGTATTTTAAGATTCGCGTGATATAATATTTATCGACTATCTTGAAAAGGGAAAAACCTCCAACAGCGACTATTACATAGCGCTCGAAGGACGAAATCGCGGAAAAACAGCCCCATTGGAAAAAAAGAAAGTGCTGTTTCATCAAGACAAAGCACCGTGCCACAAATCAATGAAACCGATGGCCAAATTGCATGAACTGGGCTTCGAATTGTTTGCGCATCCACCGTATCCTCCAGATTCACCTCCCCAGCGCGTTTTGCTCATCTCAGGCGTAAAGAGAATGCTCGCTGGAAAAAAATTAGCGCCGATAAAGAGGTTATCGTTGTAACTGAGGCCTATTTTGAGGCTAAACACAAATCGTACTATGAAAATGATACCGAAAAGTTGTATGACCGCTATAATAATTTTGTCGCCCTCGAAAGCAACTATATCGAATAATAGAATCAAATTTCATCAAACAATATTTTGATGACATTTGATAAACTTTTGCCTGTTTTCCTATGAACTTTTCAGCCCAATTACATTGATATTTCCAAAAAGGTAGGAGTGAATCTATTGTAATCGATGTAAATATAATATTCTCTACAAAATATATACAAGTCCGGCTATTGAATAATGAGACTGATTATGAAAAAGGGTTTTATTATAACAATTATTCTACATTCGAATGCTCTCCTTCAATATACTCCCCTTCCCTTGGAGGAATTTCTGTGAGAGTATTACCTTGCAGCACAAGAATACACAAGATTCTCTCTAGAGAGCCGACTGCTGAAACTGGGTCGCTTAAACGACTCGATGAAACATTCACGACCTCTAGTGAAGAAACGTTAAAGCTTTCGATAGAAAACCACTTTCCTGGAAATCTGACTCTTGATAACAACAGACCTCCCATCTTCGGGGGCGCTAAACGCCCAAAAAAGAACGATTGAGACGTCACAAAGAATGTTATCACAGCACCGGCAGTTGAATGGGCTATCAAATCTTTTCAGCCCTTCAAATCTCCCGGAGATGATGGTATATTTCCAGCTTTTCTTCAAAACGGACTGGGAATAATATTACCTATTCTCACAAAATTGTATAGAGCTAGTCTGGCGTGGAACTATATAACCACCCAGTTGATTGGCAGCAAGGGTGGTATATATACCTAAAGTGGGTCGGAGAGACTCACACTCTAAATCGGTACAATCGGCATTATATGTATCCCCCCTGAATAACCACCAGTATGCTTATCAAACCGGCAAATCGACAGATTTAGCATTAAACAACTTTGTTGAGAAAATTTCCCAATCACATGACAACAAGGAGATTGCGGTTGCTGTATTTCTTGATATTGAAGGAGCATTTGACAATACACTACCTAAATCTATAGGATTGTCTCTAGCTAGGAAAGATATAGAATCGACCATAACTGGCTCGATCTATTCCATGCTGGTGAACAGAACTGCAACTACGACACTTCAAGGAGAGGCCATTTGGTTCAGGGCACCAGGGGCTGCCCTCAAGGTGGGGTACTATCTCCCCTTCTGTGGTTGCTGCTGAAGGATATCCTGCTTGATGCCCTCGACAGAGGAAAAATTGATCTCAAAGCTTATGCAGATGACCTTGTCATCCTGGCAAGGTCTACGTCGAGAAGGGTAGCTTGTAATATCCTCCAAAGCACGTTGGACTATGTTCACAGTTGGTGCCTGAGGGAGCAGATGTCTGTCATCCCCAGCAAAACTGTCTTAATCCCCTTCATCAGGAGGAGAAAATTGGACGATCTAACGAGACTTTCCCTCAATGGTGGAGTCATTCCATTTGGAATGGAGGTGAAATATCTTGGCATCGTCCTTGATAAAAGACTCACCTGGAACGCTCACCTATGGACTGTCGAAGGATTTGTGGTAAAACTTGGGGTTTAGGTCCCAAACAAATCCATTGGATTAATGTGATGATTGTCAGACCAATGATCACTTATGGAGCAATTGCCTGGTGACCGAAGGCTTTACAGAAAACGGCCCAAGCGAAGCTCTCTGGCTTACAAAGAGAGGATTGTCTGGCCATCAGTACCACACCGTCAGCGGCCATGGATATCTTTCTAGATCTACCTCCTCTCCACATTCTTTTGGAGAAAAAGGCCAGATGGACAGCATACAGACTTGTGCACATTGCCAATTGCACAAATGAAATTTATGCATGGTACAACAGACTGTTGGTTGACACTGGAAGTCACAGCATTCTAGAAATGAGCTCTGACTTTTTGCCTCCAACTATCAGCTACGAACTGCCTTATAAAATACTTTTTCCGAGTAGAGAGGACTGGATCCTCCGGGAGAAGGAAATATTAAAAGCATATAGTTATTGGTTCACAGATGGATCAAAAACACCTTCCGGTTCTGGTGCAGGTTTTTTAGTCGCAGACCCATGTTATGTTTTTCAAGCGGAAATTTACGCTATTGAATTGTGTGCGGATAGATTGGATAAATCCAAACTCATACACAAGTCAATAAAAACATTCTCGGACAGTCAAGCGGTGTTGGAAGCTCTTGGCTCCTACTGAGCAACGTCTAAATTGGTAGCAAATTGCCAAAAACGACTCTGCTCAATAAGAAGACTTAACAAATTGTCTCTGGTCTGGATTCCTGGCCACAGTGGCCTGTAAAGCAAGAAGCTACCAACTCCCTTGCAAAAGAGGGTGCTGCAAGCAGCTTCATCGGACCAGAACCTGTTATTGGCATCGCTTTAGGCTTTGCCAAACAAACATTGAACACCTGGATGGAAAGAAGATTTATGGACTTCTGGCAGAATCTTCCAGGATTGGCTCACTCCACGGCGTTTATTCACCCTTCGAAGCTTGATACCAAATAGGTGTTGGACTACAGTGAGGATGAAGTACTTTGTCTAACAGGTCTTCTACAGGTCACTGTCATTTGAATCATCATATGCAGAGACTCGGACTGTTGGAAGACAAAGTGTGTCGCCTTTGTTTGGAAAATGATGAAACAGCAGAGCATATACGTTGTGCCTGCCCGGCTGGGAAACGAATCAGGTTTTTAGAGTTCTGCAGAGCCGTACTCTTACCATCTGACCTGAAAGACCACTCACCATACAAACCAATCAGCTTCGTTAAGAAGCTTGGTTTATTTGGTCGAGTGTGAATAGGTGTGATTCACAATAAACCCTTGCGCGTTGCGGTAGAGGGTCGAATAGACCAACTCACTTCAGACCTAACCTAAACTAACCTACCCCACTCCCCTTGCCACACACCTTTCCTTGCGTTTTTTTTCCATTGATCGAAGCATTGCTGGAAGTCTTCTTTGGTAAGGGCCTTTAGGAGCTCTGCCGTTTTTTGCTTTACCGTTTCCTTCGATTCAAATCGGGTCCCTTTCAAGGCTAATTTTATTTTCGGAAACAAAAAAAGTCGCACTGTGCCAAACCTGGCGAGTACGGCGCGTGTTCGAGCACTGGAGTGCATGTATCGGCCAAATACCGCTTCACAGATAGCGCGTTATGGGCAGGTGCGTTGACCTAGTGCAAAATCCGGGTTGTTCCTCCACAACGCGGGCCGTTTTTTACGAACTCATTCTTGCAGTGTTGCCAAAACTGACAAATAGTAAGTCTGGTTGACAGTATGACCCTCTGGAACCCATTCAGTCATCACGATATCGTTAATGTCGAAAAAAAATATCAATATTGCCTTGAATTTTGATTTGGACATCCTTTCTCTTTCGGCCCTCACTTAAGCGTTTACACCACTCAAAAACACGCGCACAATCTGTTTAAAAAAATCTGTTTAAAATCTGTTTTTCCGTTAACCAGCTGTCGCACCCCTACGAACGACAACCCTCAGAAGTCGAAACTTGTGCGAAAGATAGAGAATTGTCCCCATAGACCTCTTGCAGCAATGTTTAGCTCTCAGTCGGAGTTTTTTTCAATTTCAAAAGGAATTTGAGATTGAAACATTGCTCCTGTTTTTCGTCATACATGGTTTTCGGCACGAGGAAATAACACGTCCGTTTCAAACCGCTACTACATAAATACTACAATATAGTGATGAAAACGTATTTTGGTACGTGAAAAACGAAGATTTCCAGATACCCAAAGCACTATATACTCATTTTTTCCACCCCTCTAGGGCGCCTTCTAGGTGCGCAGTTTCGTTATTTAATAGCCGAAACTCGTATTG